TTTCATTTGGAATATACTGTTTTGAAGGAATGAATCAGAGAGAACTTTAACTTTGGATTGGCAGCATGACATGGTCACAGAAAGCTTTTATTAAAATTTTGGATCCTTAAGCCGACTGTGGTCAATACAGCTTGTGGGCACTCAAGTGCCAGCTGATTACTGAGGCTAGAAAGGGAATACCACCAAAGTAATAGTTATAATAATAACAATAATGATAATAATAATAGTAAATAAAAAATAATAAAATAAATTTAAAAAAAGGAAGGGAATACCACATCTCCCCAAATCTCTTGTGCCAGGGTCTGGATGTGAATTAGGTTCCACCAATTGAGATCTGAAAGGTGGAAGGCAGGCCATTTTCCTACCACTTTAGCTGTTTTCTGCTGCTAAAGCTGTGGAGTCTGATTCTTCTCTTTCCCTCACACCCCACCTCGACTCTATCAGCAGACCACGCTGGCTCTACCTTTGAAATAACTACTCAGAATCCATGCACTTCCCAGCACCTCCGCTCTTCCCACCCTGGTCCACAGCACAGCCATCTGTCGCCGGGATGACTAGAGCAGCCTTTAACCTGGTATCTCTGCTTCTATCTTTGCCTCGACCTGGCAGCTCAAGTGAGCCTTTTAAAACCCAGATAACACTTGTGACAGTGAACCATTTCACTTAGAAGACAGCCCAACTCCTCTCAGTGGCCTAAAGTCCTGGCTGACCTGGACCACCCAGCCCACACCTCCTCCGCTCCCCTTCTCCTTCCTGCTTTCAGCTCCAGCCAGTCTCCTTTGCTGCTCCTGATTCTGGCCATCCTCACCCCTATGGATCCTGCCAGCTCACTTCTTCAACTCTGACATGCAGGGCTACCACTCGTAGACTCCCCCTACCCTTTAATAATTCCCAAGCGCTCGTCACCTTCTAAATACCACAAAACTTACTTAGTTATGCTTATTGTCTGTCCCCCTCACTAAAATGAAAGTTCTCTCAGGACAGACGTCTTCCGCTTTTGTCACTGATGTATCTATCCTATGCTGCAATGTGCCTAGCACCCAGGAGGCACTCTGTCTGTGGGCTTTTGTCTTCAGGTGTCCCAGGGTCCAGTCTGTAGCTCTGTGGTTCTCCAGAGGCAGCCGAGACTGTGGGGCTTTCGTGATCACTGGACTGCAGCTATGCAGTGTTCTGTAACTCAACGGCTCCGTAGCCGGATTCTCCACTCTCCCGACTATGGGAGAGGTCGTTGCACCCCTGGTGGGAGTTCTCGGGTGTTCTGATTCATGGAGGCTCATCCTATTACTTACTCCTCCAGCTTTCCAAAGAGTCTGTAAACACTTATTTTCCTGTATTAAACTCCTCTGCTTGAATAACTGGAATGGCTTTTATTTTTCCACGGAACCCTGAAGAATACACGAGATAGTTGTTGGACCAATGATGATCAAGACTGCATTTTTTCCTGACTGACTGGGTTTTAGATGTAAATGAGCCAACTAGAAGAAAGCCCAGCCCCTACCTCAGTCCTTGGGGAGCTGGATCAGTGACCGCTCCAATACAAGGGAACAGAAGAAATGTTTCAGAAGACCCGAGTCAGAAGTTGGCCACACAGGGAGGGAGTTACTAAAGTTGGCATTCTTTCTCCATTTTTTTCAGAGGATACCCCTGAGACCCAACCACACTCCAGTCCCTACCCTCTATTGGTAGAACTTTGGCAGCTGAACCATATCCAAGAGGAGCTGTAAATACCACATCTGTCACTAGCTACAGCCATCTGAAGAGGGGAAATGCCCCACCTGTGAATGTCCTGCACTAGTCTGCGGGTGGGAGCACAGGGCAAACAGGCAGTGGACGTCATTTTTCACATCATACCTAAGAAATAAGCCTCTTTTCCTTTAAAGAGCCAAGTGTTAAGTGGTCAATTTAATTGGACCATGGGGGTAGGTCTAGGATTAAAAGACCCCATCTTTAATTAGTTCAGCTAGCTCAGACATATCCGAAGTACAAAATGCTCATCAACAAAGAACTGTATGTGTTTTTAAGATAAAGCACATGATGAGACAACATAATATTTATGTCATCATACACAATATATACAATTTTAGAGTCTGAAAAAGAATATGTACTAAAATGTTAAAACTGGTGTATTTAGAAGAAAAGGCAATTGAACATTTAAAAAATTCTACCTAGATATACCTCGACTCTCTGTCATTCCTGCTTCTTCCCTACTAACAAAACTCTGTCTCAGGCAGCAACAGGCTGCCAAAGGCCCGGGGACAAACTGCTCCATCCATCTCTTTGGCAGCACCGCGTCCGAGGGTGGGTATGTGACCCAGCTCTGTCAAACAGACACAGGGGGCAAGTGTCTTTGGGCTTCTGAAGGATATTCCGAAGAGCACAACGGGGAGAAAGTTCCTTTACCACTGTCTACTTTGCTTCCTGCTGTGGCTTCGGACACTCATTTGAAGAAATGATGCTGGGCTGTAGCAGACGGAGGCCAGCGGAACAAACGGCTCTAAGGAAATCTTGATGACCTTTTGGCTGCCACCCAACTCTGGAGCCCTTTATCTCTAGACTTCTCATTACAGGAGATAACTAAACATCCTTACTGCTTACGCCGCGGTCAGCCCAGCTTCCTGTCACACTTGTGCGGCTGCTCACTCTCTGCAGAAGCACTTTTCTGTCCGCCACCAAGTGAATGCTTTATGTTCACTCTAATCTACACCCTATTAAACGGCTACTATGACCTCATTTTTATAGAAAACCAGTAAAACCAAGCTTAGGGAGGGTAAGGAATTTTCCCCAAAGTTACTGGTGGAGGTGGAGTCAAACCCAACCCTGGCTCTAGAGCCCACACGTGTCAGTCTACTCACACAGTTAAAAAAAAGAACAAGTCTGTAGTTCTCTCTTTTAGAAGCATAACAAAATGCCTACACGTAGATGCAGGTAGTAATAAATTGGCATACATTTGCACTCACACATAATGAATTTTGACTTTAGGCTTTTTCCTCCCATTATTCGTGTTTATTGGTTGGTAGAAATGTATGCTTCAGAGGCTCAGTCAAGAAAGCAGACTTGTTTCATCTTTTTTCCACACTTTCACTGGTGACATCCGGTCTGTGTATCGGGGATAGAGAGACTGGTCACGGGGACTCTGATGCAGGGTCATAATAGTCAATCCCCAAGATACCTGAAATGGAGAATGTGAAAGTGGTACATGCTCTTCCTCGAGCTTTCTTAGGAGAGCCAAAGACTGCAAAATACCAAAAAGCCAACGAGGCAGAGCCTTTGAGTTAGCCCAGAAAAGCCGAAGACTGTTTCTGAACCAAAGAAACAGAAGAGAAAGGGGATTACAATAGAGGCCCAGTGGCAGTGCATCGCCTATCTAAAAGAAGCAAGCACTGGAGCCCAGAGAACAAAGCTCAGCTTTCGCCCAAGTAGAACTTCCATGGTTCATGTTTCCACAGAAGCCTTCTGTCTCTTACAAGACACCAGAACAGTACCAATGGAGCTCACGTGAGCTCTTAGCTACAGAAAGGCCAATGTTCAATCCCCCCTCGTTGCTGCAGGCTAGGCAGTTTGAGGGGCTCGGCATAGGAAAACCCCAGTCGTGATGAACAAAAAACAGACTCATGGGACAGAAAGGTGAGACTAAAGGAAGGCATATCCATCCCAAACCTCTGGCGCCACCTCAAAGTCGGGAGGAGGCACTCTTACTGAGCCTGTGTGGTCCATCGCTGGTCCCGAGGCAGCTGGCTAAGCTCACAGCAAAGGGAGCTGTGACATCGGTGACTAACGACCAGACACTGCTGCAGGCAGCCCTCCCTAACCCTTAAGATGTCTCCCACTACAAAACCAGGGAAAAAACCCAGCCCTGTGGACAGGGGATGAGGGAAGAGAAGCTGCTCCTCCAGGAATGACACACTGGAAGGATCAAGAGCATGATGATCTGGTAAAAGGAACAAGGTGACAGACCCATGAACTGAAGGCCACCCTGGCCAGCAGGGACTGGGGTGCAGAGCTGGTGATGGTAGGACAGGAGGTACAGGGGAGCCTCTCAAACTCAAAGCTTTCGAAGTAGGAGGTCATCTGTCAAGTGTCAAAGAAGCCGCTATGCAATAAATCCCTAGTTGCCGTCTTACAAGGTTGCTTTTCAGCAGTATTTGAGTGTGGTTATAATTCTGAGTGCTCACAGGCTTCTGTTGGGAAATATTTAAATGGAAGCCAAGAGTACTGCTAGTCATTGCAGGGCTTGGGGGTGGGGGATGAGTCCTGGGACCCCAATGTCACCCAAAGGCAAGTGTAGGGTGCTGGGAGGAGTCTCTGAGTTCACCTCTGGTAGAACTTACAGCTAGCACCTCACGGCAGTGAACAGGCAGCACTTGGCTAGCAGCACTCAGGAGAAAACGGGCAGGGAAGGACCCAAACCTGTACCTTCAGAACTTCCGGCCCAGGGGGACGGCACATGCCATCAGGAGGCAGGGAGAGAGCAGCTCCAGTCACTTCTTCCGAGAGATTCTTGGCATCTCTATTTTGTTTGAAAACAGACTCAGGCAAAGGGAAGGGGAACTAACATTTATTGAGTGCCCACCGTGTTTATCTGGCCTTGTGCAAGGAGTTTTCATCTATGACATTCCATTTCATTCTCACACCAACCTTGTGAGGTAGGTATTATCCTCATTTTTGTCCCATGAGGAATATGAGGCTCAGAAAAGTTAGGTAGTTTGTCCAAGGTCACACAACTAGTAACTGATGGAGCTGGGATTGAGCACTGAGTCCCAGACTGAAAGATTCCCTGCTCTCTCTCCAACGCTGCTTCTTGGGAAGGAGAAGGCAGCAAAAGCGGCAACCGTCCTTAGGCTTCCTACCCTGAGAACAAGACAGTCAGCAAGAGGAGGAGCCTGGACTTTCCCACAGACCCTCCCCTCTCTACCTGGGGAGGGTACAGTCACTCGAAGCGATAAGACATAAATATAAAAATAAATAGAAGGGACAAGTCCCCCAGCAGCGAGGATGTGCAGGATCCATGCCGTGGGAGGCAGCCACGTGGGCCCTGTGGGGAAAACTGGGACAATGGCTGCCAAAGGCTGGAGTGGGTGGGCTAAACAGGCCCTTTCTGGGTCGCATAGATTTGAGAACAAAACGTCTGGAGCAGGCAGCAGCCGTGGGCACAGTCACCATCATCCTCCATCTGCTCATTTTACCGGTGTTTGTGATCCAAGAGGGACTCAAAATCGGGGGAACAGACAAGTTTGTGCTTTATATGTCCCAGGACGGTCATCTCACCAGTCCGACTGTCCCCAAGGCCCACGGACACCAGCTCCTGCCAATCAATAGAGACAGCGATGAGAACCAAAACCACACAGCCCACTACTCAGTCCTATGATTTTCACGTGAAAATCCCAAGAACACTTCTCCCTTAGTTAGCACTGACTCCTCAACACTCCTTACCTCTTAAGGAGCCCCTACTGTGACCCTACAGGCTCTCACCTGCAGAAAGGAACAGGCAGTTCCCATGGTCACATCTAGGGTCACCTTGCCCAGGAGGAGTTGCACCTTTCCTGACTTGCGGATGAGCAGCTTGCCAACCTGACCCTCTGTCAGGTCAGCCAGGGTACAAGCATTCTCTGCCAGCCTGGCTTCCTGTGGAGAGAATCAGAAGATGGAAACTGGGTAAGGAGCTGCTTCCTCCATCCTTCACGAATGACACCCTTTTCCAAAGGAAGGCAGCAGCAGCAGAGGTTAGAATGAGCTCCTCCAGAGGGCCTTTCCCCAGGGCTCCCTGCCGTTGGCTGAACGACAAAACCCAAAGCAAACAAATGAACAAATGGACAAAATACTGATAACTGCTGCAGCTGAGTGATGGTACATGAGAATTTATGTTCTCTCATTTGTGTACGTTCAAAATATTTCATTGTAAAAAGTAAATACATGTAATAGGGGTTGAAGTACAAAGCCCCACGTCCCTTGTGGGTAGAGAGAACAAATGGGTATTATTCTGACATTTCAGCTTGGGTGGCACACCTCTGCTTCCCCAACAGCTCACCGTTTCCCTTCCTGGTCCCCCCGGCATTTTCACAGAACTCATTCCTGAGCATACCCGGTCTTTCTCCTGCTTTATAACCACCATCTGTCCGTCCTCGCTCTGCACCTCTGTCTTGATAGGCTTGATGTCCTGAGTGGGCGGCTGGCCAGGGAGCGTGTCTGGCAGCTGAAGGAACAGCAGCTCTTCTTCCTGGGTGAGGCTCAGCTCCCTGAGCAGGTCTGCCACAGATACGTCCTTTGGGAGGCCCGGGGTCTTTCTGGCTGTCCTGGCAGGGGCCTTCGTCTTGGCCTCATCCTCCTCATCTCGGGGCTCCTCTTTCACTGCCCAAGGTAACACAAATGGAAGAGCTATGACGTGGCCATGTCGTCATACACAGCCCTTCATCCCCCTCTGCTTCACTGTCACTCAGTCACGAAGTGGAAGGGAATCACTGGTTATGAAGAAGGATCCAGGAGTTGTGTGACTTATCTAAAAAGGCTAGGCCCACGGATCCATGTCAGCACGAACATCCTGAGAGTGAGAGTTTGGTGTCCCTGTTCGGGTCATGTATTTTATAGCCGGAATGGGGGAGGACCTGCTTCTGAATCTGGGAGGCTCATTCCTAGGGAGGATTCCTGGGGGGCAGCCACAGGGAAGGAGAGGAGACGCTAACGGACACAGAGTACCTTTCACAACAGGTACATCCACCTCCATGTCCTCTTCCTTGGGGCCAGCCAGCCAAGGTTTAACATCTGGCTCTTCATTCTCTTCCTTAAAAAGCCACCCTGAGTGAGCCAGCGGCAGCTGCACAGGCATGTTTCGAGTGTCATTCCTCAGCCCAGGGTCATCGATGAACTACCAGGGAAGAGTCAGCGGGTCACATGGTCTGGCTAGCATGCACACATACCTGGACCACAGCCCACCTCAGCCTTTTCTAACTGAAGATTCCTGCTGTTCACAGGCCTCCAGGACATCGGAGAGCTCTTCTTCCCCCCAAGCCTGCCTCCCCAGAAGCCCATTCCTCCCTGCCTAGTGGTACCTACATCATCCTTCTCCAGCATGCGCAGGATCTGTTTCGTTTCTTCATCTGTCTCCCTCTTCTCTTTTTTGATGTTGATGATATGAGAAGGCCCCATGTCTGACACATCCACTGTCTTATCCCAGTTCCCTGTGGGAAATCACTCAGTTCACCAGAGGTATGGTAGAGGCCAACAGCAAGGAAAACTAAACCGGGAGCAGGGGGATTTTACTGCCCTTGCCCTTCTCTTGGGCGGTCTGGACTGAAATCCACTGATTCCTTCCTCCCAGAACCCCAGCAGCTTTGTACCCTTTTTCTTCATCATTTCAGCTGGACCCTGCTCAAAGATGGAGTGGGACTGGATCACTTCTGGGCGGCCCCGGCCCCGTCCATGCCCCTCTCGCTGTCGGTCTCTATCCCTGTCACGCTTCTCCTTCTTGATGGTTACTTCCTCCTTGGGCCTGGAAAAGAGAATGGAGTAAGGGAAACCACTCACTCACTCTGCCTCAGAGAACTGGTCTTACTCTGCCATACCACTCTACTCCACCTGAGTGGAGAATTAATGAGACAATAACTGTATCAGAAGAAGCAGAACCCAATCTTAAGTCTAGCACCTTTTCTATTTTCTTGAGGGGGCAGTGCCCCTTCAGTTTGCTTTACTTTACCTTGCTTGAGAGTATATATTAGAACTCAACTCAAAAGTTGAATTACAGAGACTGTCCCAAAATGTGGACTTTTTAGTGTTGGTTGAAAGCAAGAGGGTTGTACTACAAAAGAATGTAAGTGAAAATCTGACACGTTTTTATCTAACCTAGTGGCTCTCAACTCCAGCTGTAAAAAATAATCATTCTGTTTCATTGCAAAAAAGTTAAATCACCATTGTCTAGAGATGGACTTCCAGGCATATTTTTTAACTTGCACATTAGAATCACTGGGAGTCAAGGTCCAAAAATCACTAGTGAAAAAAATTAATACACAAATTTAGATTTCTGAGCCACATACCTAGTTATTCCCCAAAAGACCCAAATTCAGAACAATAAGGGAAAAGTTTTTAGAAGGCCCAGCTACTTACTCTTCCTTGATTTTCCGACTGATGATATTTGGGGTGAAGGTTTTCTGAAAGTAAAATATGGGAGTCACTGATTTGGTAAGTTCTGATCCCAAAGTATAGAGAAAAATGAAAACTCTCAAAGGGCATCTTGTATGGACCAAGACCACCATTTTACATTCCCCACTGTTGTCAATGATTTACACAGACAGACGTGTACTTAAAAGGGACAAACATCTTGTCATCATAGCAGTGGACTTACACACAGAACAGGGCACCAAAACCTATTTAAGCTAGCAGCCTCAGCTTCTGCCCTCTGAAAGGAGAGCCCTCAGGGCTTTGAAAATTTATTTGTCTAATCTCACTTCCTGTCATCAACCGGCTATAGAAACCATAGAGTATCATAGGAAAGAGCTCTAGCAACAAGGCTCAAGTAGGAAGTCGGCTAGCACTCACAAACTGATGATACAGCTAAGCTGTCACCAGCATTTCCCAAGGCAAACAAGTCTTGAAAACTGGCTGCTTTATGCTTCTATTACAGCCCCTCCTCCCCCCACTACATTTCAGGGCTATCCTTACATCTACAGTCATAAACACAACAGAAAAGGGCACAGAGCCTCCAGTGTCCTGCCTAGGATTCATTATACTCTAGATCACAGTCTGTCACTTTAATCCATGGCGAATAGAGAGCTCTCTAAAACTACAGGCAAAGTTTATGCCTGCTGGCTTTCATGGGTTTCTTAAAGGTGTCCAAAACACATAAAAAGGTAAATAAGCACTGCTCGAGTTGCTTGGGGAGTAATTAGGATTCTCTGCCCTTCAACCATCTCTGAGAACCAGTCAACATCTTGTACCCAGTATCTAGACCTGAAGGTAGGCAGACTCCCCAGAATTTGTCAGCAACGTCTGAGGGCGAGTTTCGTTAGGCCCAATACCAAACCCGGCACACGGTAGGCCCTACGTGAACATCAACTGAACCCCAGGATCCTGGAATTCAAGGTAGCAGGGTTTCTTTAGAAAGGTGCCGTCTGGTACCTTCTTCACTCCTCCGAGGGTGAGATCCCTGGAGCGGATGGAGGGAAGGCGACCTGGAGTGAGTGGAGGCGCCGGCCGCCGCCCGATAAGCCCCCGTCCCCCAGAGAGGAGGGGGCGGGGACCTCCCGGAGCACTCGGCTCGCCCGCGGCGTTTCCTTGCGACATTTTGCCTGGGAGAAAAGAAGGAAAGGGGCAACAAAGTCACTCGAGGGGGCGGACACACGGACCCTGGGCGGAACCCCACCCACGTGGCCTCCCGCCCCCCAGTCAGTGCGTCCCTCCCTTTCCACGTGGCAAGACTCCCCGGACCACCCAGTTAGAGCGCTTGGCTCGCTCTCTGCCCAGGACCCCGGCCAGGCACAAGGCAGAGACGCACCCCAGCGTACCTGGGCTGTGGCTCCACACCACGCGCCTCCCGACTTCACCTCCGACGCGGCCCGCTGATTGCCCTGGGTCTCTGCGCCCGGCGGAAGTCTGCGTGGCAGGGCCCGGGGGCCGCCATCTTGCCGCGGGGCGGAAGTGAGGTCGGTGGGCGGGGCCGGGCCACAGTATTTATCCGGCGGCGCCTCGCTCCCCTCCGCCTTCTCTTCCCGGTTCTTCCCGGAGTCGGGAAAAGCTGGGTTGAGAGGGCGAAAATGGAAGAGGGGTCTGGTCTAGGTTACGCTGCAGTGCAGCGTTTGGGGGTCTTGGCCCGGGCCGAGGGGGTAGAGGCGCCCAGCTCCGGGTCCGGGGGCCGTGGCGGCCGCCACGACCCAGCATGGGGATTCGCCGTGATGGAGCCTCTGGGAGCGGTGGGGTCGTGGCTCGGGACGGGGCGAGGGGCGCGGGGCGGAGAGCGAGACCCGGACTCAGAGTTGGGAAGTCCTGGGCCGGGCCGAGCCGCGGCTGTGGACTCGATGATGACCTTGGAGTGGTCACTGTACTCCGGGCTGCGGCCTCGTCCTCGCTTGGGGGTCCCTTCCCTGAACTGCTGGTGGGGGTCCTGGGGTGGGGCTGTGGGCGCCGCGCTAGGGCAGCAACAGCGGACTAATTGGGTGCCTAAGGGCGCCCGCCCTGGGCTCCTGGCTGCGGACCCTCGTGTGCGCTCTCTGGGCTCTTGACTGCGGACCCCTGTGTGCGCTCTCGTTCCAAGCCCGGAACCGAAAAACGAAGTTTGCTCGATTGGGAGGGACGAATTTAAAGAACTTTCATGGTGATTCCTTCATTTGTAATTTAACATAAAAAATGCCTTTACTCCCCACCCCCAAGCCATGTAAAAACCACTTAACATTGCGGAAAGTTTGAAGGGAGGAAAACGTTTCTGTTACTACTATTAAAACTTCTGCAATGCAATCCCTTTGGAGAGCTGTCATTGTACCACAGTTTTGAATCCTACCTTTTGAAATAACATTTCTTTGTTGCTGCATCAAATGTGTAATTCTTGGGTCTATGTCATGATTTGCCTATTTTCCTATTTGGACACTTAGATTGTCTCCCCCACCCCCCCCCCCGCGCGCACGCTGTTGTAAATAACGCTGTAGTGAACATCTCGTGCATTTAACATTTTTTTCTTTTGGATTATATCCCTAGGACGACCTTTCAGACTTGTGATAACTGGCCAAAAGAAGATGTATTTTATTTTTTAAGTAAAATTTTTGAGATAATAGATACACATGCAGGTTTTTTTTAGATTTATTTATTTTAGAGAGAGAGAGAGAGAAAGAGAGGGAGACAGAGAATGAGCAGGGAGGGAGAGGGAGAGAGAATCAAAGCAGACTCCACGCTGAGCGCATTGACCCCCACGCTGGGCTTTATCTCTTGATCCTGAGATCCTGACCTGAGCAGAAACCAAGAGTCAGATGCTTAACAGACTGAGCCAGCCAGGTGCCCCAGATACACAGGTAGTTTTAAGAAATAATACAGAGATCTCAAGTTTTCCCCAAGAGAAACATGTCCTAAAACTATAGTACAATATAACAACCAGAATATTGACATTGATACGGTAGAAATATAAAACATTTCCATCAACGCAAGGATCCCTTTTAGTTGCCTTTTTATAGCCACACCTGCCTCCCTTTGGCCCACCCCTGGCAACAACTAATCTATTCTTCACTTTCATACTGCTGTTATTTCAAAAGTGGAACTCATTCAAAAATGGAATCATACAGTATGCGACTTCTTGGGATGGCTTTTTTCACTCAGCATAATTCCCTGGAGATTATCCAAATTGTTGCATGTATCACTAGTTCGTTCCTTTTTATTACTAAGTATCCATGGTTTGTTTAACTATTTGTTCTTTGAAGGAAGTCGGGGTTGTTTCCAGTTTTTGGCTATTATGAATAAAGCTGCTATGAACACACATGTACCAGTTTTGTTTTTTACAAAGATACTTATTCATTGTAGAAAATTTGGAAAATTTTAATAAACACCCAGAAGAAAATGAAAGTCATCCATTACATACTTGAAGTTGTTTTTCTATGCATGTGGCTTTTTAAAAATTGAGGTGTTTTACATATGGTTCTATAATCTGCTTTTGTCTTAATAATATCCTATAAACATTTTTGGAGTTATCGAATATACTTCTAAATTATAATTTTTAATGCCCAAATAGTACTCCACATTGTTGTCTTGCACCATAATTCCTTTAACCAGTTTCCTGTTAACCAGAAACCAGTTTCCTTCCGGCAATGCTGATTGGATTTCTGCAAAATTTTTCACCCCAACAAGAAAAGAGGAGAGAAGACTTAAATCAAGACTTCTATCTTTAACATTTTGGGGTTTGCTTCCTAACAACAATTACTATAGTTTCCCATTAAGAATATTCTCCAGTGTTCCCTCTAATTAGGCTAATATACTTTTGGCACCATTCTCCTTTCTTTTCTCTCTCTCTCTCTCTCTTTTTTTTTTAAAAGATTTTATTTATTTGAGACAGAGAGAATGAGAGAGAGAGAGAGAGCACATGAGAAGGGGGAGGGTCAGAGGGAGAAGCAGACTCTCTGCTGAGCAGGGAGCCCGATGCAGGACTCGATCCAGGGACTCCTGGATCATGACCTGAGCTGAAGGCAGTCGCTTAACCAACTGAGCCACCCAGGCGCCCTCTCTTTTTTTTAAGAGAGAGAGAGTGTGCACCCACACGGGGGGGGGGAGGTGGGGGGGGAGGGAGAGAGAGAATCTCCAGCAAACTCCTGCTAAGGGCAGAGCTGCAGGATTGGCACAGGGCTCAATCTTATGACCCTGAGATCATGACCTGAGCTGCAATCAAGAGTCAGAGCCTTATCCGACTGAGCCACCCAGATGCCCCACACCATTCTCCTTTCTTTCTTTATTTGCTCTAACACTTCCCTCTCAGTTTTCTTCCAAAGGGTCTATATTCTTTTTATTTTTTTAAGATTTTATTTATTTATTTGTGAGAGACAGAGAGAGAGAGAGAGAGGCAGAGGGAGAAGCAGGCTCCCAAGGAGCAGGGAGCCCAATGCGGGACTCGATCCCAGAACCCTGGGATCATGACCTGAGCCGAAGGCAGACGCTTAACCATCTGAGCCACCCAGGCGCCCCGGGTCTATATTCTTTTATCGAGCCTCAAAAGAAACTAGTAAATCCTTGCCAGCTGAACCCCATGTCATCGCATCTGTGATTCTAGCAGATCTTAATTGTTATTAATAACATTTTATTTCTACATATTTCATAGGAAAGGTGATAATCTTATTGTTGTCTGATAACTTAATGAAATTAATAATTAAACTCAAGAGCAAATATAGTTTTTTTGTTCTAAATGCAGAATTCAGAAGGTGTAAACAGATTCTGTCAAAATACTGTTTCTGTGAAATCTTGTTGGGCATTGGGAATACTAAATGAATAAGAAACTGCTTTGAATATGTATCAGTAGAAGAAAAGGAATGTGTGGTATGAAAATGCTATCCAAGCTCAAGCCATTACATGTTCTCTATGAGTAATTTCTCCTGATTTGTTTGCATCATTTTGCAGGCCATTATTTGCTGGTTCCTTCTCATCTCCTTGACCTTGGAACATTGGAGAACGCTAGTATTCAGTCCTCAGAACTCTTCCCTCTTTCTTTATACTTACTCCTTTGGCTCTGGTTCAGTTTCTCAGCTTCAAACCCTGTGCTGAATGCTGATGACTCCTCGGTGCTTATCTCAATATGGACCTCTCTGAACCCCAGATGTGTATTTCTGCCTATCCCACCCTTCCACGTGGATGTCCACAAGGCATCTCAAACCTACATCCACACCCAAACTTTTGATCTCCCTCCTCAAACTACTTCGAAATGTTCCCCATCTCAGTATGTGGCAGCCCCATCCTTCTAGCCGTTCAAGACAAAATTTTGCAGTTATTCTTCACTCCCGTCTTTTTCTCATGTGACGCATCCAGTACATCAGCTTTTCCAGAATCTTGCCACTTCTCATCACATTCACTGACATGCCACCCTGGGCCTGGCCACCATCTCTTCTTCTTTTCCTCTTCCTCCTCCTCCTCCTTCTTCTTTTGCTATGATTATTTTAATAGCCTCCTAACTGGCCTCCCTGCTTCCACCTGGGTCCCGTCAGTTTAGTTGTAACATAGCATAATTAACATATTTCACATCAGGTGACGTCTCTGCTCTTGACTTCCCAGAGGTTTCCCATTTCAGAGTAAAAACCAGAGAATTTAGACTGGCCTACACAAGCCCTACATAATCTGTCCCTCCACCCACCATCTCTCTGTCCTTAACTCCTACCACACACCCCTCACTCACTCTGCTCCAACTGCACCGGTCCCTTGCTCTATCCAGAACGATCTGGCACGCTCCCTCTTCAGGGCCTCTGCACCTGCTACCTGGAATGCCCTTCCCCCGTGTAATTCTGCGTGGCTCTCCTTCTCTCTTCAATAATTTTTCTTTCTTTATCCCAAAGTCACTTTTTCAAGGAGGCCTTCTTTGATGGCATTATTAAAAATTGTAACCTCCCCCATGACATTCCCTATCCCTATTGACTGACTTCTTTTTCTCTATGACACTATCACCTAATAGACTCTAGAGTTTGTTTGTCTCTCCATCTTCCCCCCCCCCCACCAGAAAGAAAGTCCCATAGGAGCAGGGACTTATCTTCCTCCTTCACTACAGTATCCTCACTGCCTGAAACAATACCTGACACAGAGTAAGCACCCAATAAATTTTTGTTGAATGAACGAATGAATTCCAGTTTGTGTTGAGACCAAGTAGCAAATCCAGATATGCATTAGAGAAATAAAAGGGTGTATTGTTTCCAGGTGGACTGTACAAGTGATTGAACTTTAGCACCACTGATGTAAAAGCCATCCTTGCATTGCACACGTCCGTATGTCTTCTCTATAGGTTCTCTGTATGCAAGTTGCTTAATGCAGTAAGTAGTAAATAAGTAAGCAAATACTGAGCGAGTGGAGGGAAGGCTTTGTGGCATGGCGGCAGTTTGTGTATCTGTTACATTTTCTTGTCCCTGGTATCTTGCCAAGAAGTGCCCAGTGGTATTCCGTAGCTTCTACGTTGTGCTCTTCCCTTTTGGGTGTAGCTCGGTGACTATTCCAGTACCATGGATTCATCCTCTCAAGTCCTTCCACTTCTTACCGAGCTTGTGATTCTTTCGTCATTGTTCTTGGCCTTTGTCCCTTGAAGTTTCTTTTTGCCCCTCCCAACATTTCATTAGTGTCTCTTCTATAGCTTTTCAGTGTGCTTAAATATAATTCAGCATTTTTCCCATCTTAAATTTGTTAAATAAGTAAAAAACAGCTAAAAAAAACTTTAAAAGTTCAAAGTAGGGAGGGTTGTAAGAGGTCTAAATATAATTTCAAAACGATAAATCAAATAAGCACTGAGAAATCCATACAGTTCTTATACACAGTCACTGCCCACTCCTGTCATTGCCAACACGTGTAAATGAACAAAGTGGTTTTTATGAGCTGTCTGGATGTGTGTGTGCATTCATTGGCCCTGGAAATCCCCGCACTTAGCTCAACCATGAGGAAATACAGGTAAACATTTTGAGTCTATAAAATCCACAAACAGTATTAAGACTGGAGGTCTTTTTCACTTACAGCTTCTATCTATTGCCTCACACTCTATGTGCTCTATGTCCTTCTACCATGAAGAACCCAGCCCTTGTACTCAGACATGATTTTGAATATAGTTTTTTTTTTTAGATTTTATTTATTTATTTGAGACAGAGAGAATGAGAGAGAGAGAGAGCACATGAGAGGGGGGGAGGGTCAGAGGGAGAAGCAGACTCCCTGCCGAGCAGGGAGCCCCAGGCGGGACTCGATCCAGGGACTCCAGGATCATGACCTGAGCCGAAGGCAGTCGCTTAACCAACTGAGCCACCCAGGCGCCCGATTTTGAACATAGTTTTGCCTCTTATGGGCTGAGTCTCATTTCCCACCACCAACTCTTTTAAGATAAGGTTGATAGTTCCACCTTTCAAGGCTGTGGTGAGAATCCCATGCATAGGGTCTTGGTGCTTAATAGTAAAATAATAAAATTAATAACAATAATAAAATTGCTTCTGTTATTATTGTAATCATACTCTAGATATAATATTAAATATGGAAACTTCCAAGCATGCACAAAAGTGCAGAGAATAGCTTATTGGATCTCCAAGTACCCATGCCAATCTTGTTTCACCTGTCCATGCCCCTCCAGATTATTTTTATTTTTTTATTATTATTTTAAGCTTTTATTTATTTATTTGACAGAGAGAGACACAGAGAAAGAGGGAACACAAGCAGGGGTAGTGGGAGAGGGAGAAGCAGTCTTCCCGTGGAGCAGGGAGCCCGATGCGGGCCTCGATCCCAGGACCCTGGGATCATGACCTGAGGTGAAAGCAGATGCTTAACAACTGAGCCACCCAGGCGCCCCTCCAGACTATCGTTAAATAGGTCACAGATACCATGTCATTCACCCATAAATATTATAGTATATATCTCTGAAGGATATTCTTTTTAAAAATAACCATAAAATATCATTATTAGAGTATCATTCTTAAATACTATCAAATACCCCCTTAGTATTCAAATTGCCCAATTGTCACATAGGGTTTTCTTTTTTTAACAGTTTAAGTCAGTATCCAAATAAGGTCCATACCCTTGAATATTTTATTGGAGATATAATTAAGGTGTGGGCAGAGTTTTGCTGTAAGATTGTCCATTGCAGTGTTGTCTAGAATGGAGAAAAAGCAAAATATTCATTGTAGAGCAGGGGATTGGAGTATGACCTGACAACAGAACCATACACAGCAGTTTAAAACAATACCGTAGAAAGACTATGTAATGAACAGAAAAGGTATTGGTAAGTGAAAAAGGCAGGTTATAAAACAGTATTTACACTTTCTATTTTTGTTAATAAAATACATATCTGAATGGTGGGGGAAATGAATGATTTTCTCTCTTCAGTTTTAGAATCAGAATTTCTCATCTTTCTATAGTGATCATGTATTCCTTGTGTAATAAAAAGCTATTAAAAATAAAACTGCAGCAGAAGGGCATCTGGGCGGTTGTCTGGTTTCACATAGCGTTCGTTCTATTTGAGTTGTTAAGCTCTCTTCTCCCCATGTGTTTTCTCATGTGATTTGAAGAGCAGTCCTCAGAGGTAGGAAGCAGCAGAAGCCCTGACAGGGTCTGTGCCTTCCCCTGAGGCCATCACACAGCTCCACAAAAGCGCATTCAGATGGCTACTGTTCACCCTTGGGACACATGATCTCGTGCGCACTCCGCGTGCCGTCCTGGGAAGGTGGGAGGCAGAGCTGTGCTAGGACACGTCTTCCTTTTAAGGGGGGATCCGAGTCTCAGAGAACCTGACTTTTGTTCACACCAACCCTCAGGTTAGTTGTAGGGCCAAGTTTTGGTGCAGATGTCTGGTGCTGGCCAGAACCATGAGACTACGTTTTGCATCCCTTCAAAATCACAACATTTCAGTGTAGGTGTGCGAGGCGCAGGACCTACTTATGTTTGGCCAAGGGAGTGTTTGATCCTGTCTCAATGTAACGCACCACGCTGCATTCTGTGATTCAGAATCTGACCAAACTTGCTCGGGTTCTCCACACCCATTTAGGGAAGGATTGGCTTCTGCTTGTCTTTGCTTTCTGTAAAATATTCGTGTTCTGTCCACTGTCTAACCTTTGGTGCTTGCTCATGTCCGCAGCCCCCAAGTCCCTCTCGGTGAGTGTCCCTTGCACTCAGCTCATGCCTTCTGTGGCACTCTGAGCCCTCAGCCAGAACCTGAGAGGTCCGCCTGTTGCCTCTGCACCAAGCCCTCCCCACCCCCCACCACGTTCCTGTTTCCACGGTCACGTCTTGGCTGTGCTCTGGCTGGACTCCAGCTGGTTCTGACGCCTCCTTCTCTGAATCCTTATCTGTACCCTGCAATTTGGTTGTATATTTCTTGTTCTTTATGTCCACATTTCCTCCTCCTAAAAGACCACGGGCTCCTTGCAGGCAGACACTATTAATAATGATGGCAATGACAACAGTTCTGATGGGTCACTGGGCCCTTCTTGTGTACCAGGCCCACAGCTGAGTGATTTACATAATTTCTCATTCAGTATTTATTATCTCACTTGACAGATGAAGAAATCGAAGCTCTGAGAGGTTGAGTAACTTGTCCAAGATCACCCAGCTAGAAAGTGATAGAACTGGAATTTTAACCACATCTGTCTGACTGTAAAGCCCATGCTTTTCCACACTGTGCATACTCTTTGTCGCTGTTGGTTGTTTGATTCAGATTTCCTTGAGTGCTCTTCACAGTGGCGTCTGAGGTTTTAATCTGGTGGTAGAAAAGCCGCCTGTCAATAAGAGAGCAGATAGTATTCTCCATAGCCCAGATGGTTGGTTGGGATGAGAACACTCCAAGCTCCCTGTGTGTTCTTCCCACCCCCACTTTCTTGCCTCTGCACACCCTTTGCTGCCCCACAACCTCTCTCTCTCTCTCTCATTCCTTTCCCTGGGGACACCCGAGCAGCCAGAGGACTCTCCCTAGATGATCGGGGATCGTCTGCGGGTCTAATATCTTTTGATAGAGTTGGAAAGAAAATGGAGCCATGGATCAGCCAAAGTCCCCGCGGAGAGAATCCGGACTGAAGACGGACCCCCCCACCCCGTACCTCTTTCCCGTCACAGCTCCCCTTCCCTTCCCCCAGTCAGAATCCTTGTTTGGGGGCTCCCAAGCCTCTGGGCTCAGCCCCACCCCTCTCCCAGCATCCTAAAGTTCGGGGGCTGCATTCAAGTGAGAGATTTCCAAGTTGAGGTGTGTTGGAGGGACTTCTGAGGGCAGCTTGTCCCGGAAGAACGGGGGGGGGGGGGGGGGGGAGTGGCAGCCACCGCCGCTGTCTCTGAGGACATCAGCGGAGCTTCCTGGGAGACCCTCTGCCCTTTCCCCTCCCACCAGCCCAGGCGAGCAGGGACCAAGCTTGCTTATTGTCACCTGACGCTGGGCAGCCTCTGATCCCATTGGTGGAGCCAGATTCGGTCTGGCTCTCCCGTTCTTTCTCGCCTTCTCTGCCTCTCCCTCTCCTCCACGCTGCTGTGATTTCGCTCTTGCCTCTCCTTGCGCTCGGCTGGGAAGATCGCCTCTCTGGGGGCAGCAGCCGTGCGCTGCAGAGCCAGGCAGGAGCTGCCTGCGGGGCATGGAAGAAGCCTCTTTGGCAGCCTCGAGAGGAGCGGGAGGAGCGAGCGAGCGCCGCTGCCTGTGACCCCGGCGTCGCTGCTGCCCCTCTCCCTGGGAAGAGCACGTCCACACAGAGGGCTCTCCCTTCCCTCCCTTCCAGGTCTTCCTCTGCAGAGCCCCGTGGAGCCAGGTGAGTGCCCTTCCTCCCCAGAGCATCCCACTGTCAATTCTGAGAGGGACTGAGACGGCAAGGGGCTAGGAGCTGGGGGCACCAGGGGCCTGCCACTGCCCACGGTGCCCACCTGGATTGCCAGGGCCAGCGACCTTGTCCCCTGTCCCCCAGGGCCTTGGCAAAGGGATTAACAGCTGGGTCCCGTCCCCAGGGGCACCACAGTTAGTCACCCCGTGACCATTCTGCTGCAGTCAGCGATGCCAACAGGGAGAATGGGGTGGGGGAAGATTCCCCCCCGGCTTGTGGGTGGCTTTTCTGGAGGGGCATGGGCAAGGGGTATCGGTGTGTACGGCACGTATGCATGCTTGCGAGGACCCTGGAGGTTTGCTGGCGTAGATAGTTCTGTATGCACACACTTAGGCTCTTGTGTGGGTTTCCACTGCTGGGTGGCATGTTTAGGGACATATGTTTCTTGTACACGTGAGCTACGTGTGTGGGGGGATCACTTATCTGAGTAGCCTCTGGGTTATGTGGGTGGGGGCAGTGTGAGGCAGTATATTTATGGGGTGGACATATCACTTGTCATGGGTGTGGGAGTACATGTTGAGGGAGGGAGTGCATGTAACCAAAGGATTTCTATGTGGGGAGGGGCAACTCCAGAGCAGAAAGTGGTAGGTAGGTGGAGAGTGTGGGCAGAAGCCGCTGTCCGTGCGCAGACCCACGTAGGTGTGCAGACCTGTCGGCATGTGGAGAATCAGGGCTGGCAGAGGGTGGCTAGGGACAAACCATGTTTTCAAAGTCTGGGTCTTCGAGCCTAGAGAAGATTTGAGAGATAATACCAGAATCTGGGCAGGGGTTGACGTGTGTGTGAGTGTACATGCGTGTGCAAGCCGGCATATGGGTCGCATGCCTTCTGTGGAGGTAGCACACATGCATGTTGGCGCCTGTGGCTTTCTTTTCTTCCCCAAATATGGCTTTGCAAGACGGTGTGCGTGCATATGTGTGTGCGTGAGCCTCTGGACTCCAACATGTGTGGGTCTGTGTGGAGGTGACAGCTTGTAGCGGGAAAACTGTGGGACATTCTTAGAATGTGGAAGGGGGTGGAGGCACCTGAGTGCGCAGGTGAGTGCGCGAGACCAAGAATGTCTGAGGAGATGCGTGCAGCCCTTGTGTGGCGGGTGTGGGTGGGCACATTTGGTGCATGTGTGTATGTGTGCGTATGCGTGTGCACTCATGTTCCTGCCTGTGTGTGGGTGTGTAAGTGCTTGTCTTGGCAGTGCGGGTGTTTCTCAGGTGCTGTCTCAACCTGTCCCTCACACCCTGACGTTCCCCAGTCATGGACTTGGAGAACTGGGGCTCACACCCACCCTTGGTCCACCCTGGCATTGCTGTTCTCCCAAGTGTCACTCACGGCCACTCTCCCAAGCTAGCACGGGGGAGTAATCTTAGCTCTTCTAGAACTGTAGAAAGGAAAGGATGAGCCAGGTCCTAGGGACCCCCCCCAAACATGGCTGCCCCTGTCTCTGGGGAGAGTCTGAGGAGAGGAGTACTGAGGCAGTAATAGGTGCCCACCTGTGGGTGGGGTAGGCATAGATTGAATCTGCTGTCGGTGGGAGGTGGTCACTCAGGCCCTCTCTGGGGTGGGAGTGTGTCTGTGTTGGTGTGTTGTGTTGGTGCGTGTGTGTGTGTGTGTGTGCATGTGGGTGCATGTGTATATCTCCCTGGGGAGCTCCTCACTGGGAGCCCAGAGGATGGCAACTCCCCCAGTCTCCACATCTGTCCCCATGAATTATAAACTGGTTTATTACCATACAGTTGCTTCCCAATCCTATTCTGCTTTATTTTGGGATGGACCTGGTAGCACCCCCATGCTTGTTTACCATAGGATTCCCTGCCCACAAGCCACTGACATTTGGCTAAATTTCACGACAGGCAGGCTCATAATTTAGGGTAGGAAGCCAAAATGAAACACGGGCTCAGGGAGCACCCTGGAACAGGTAAAGGCCATCACCCATATCCTTCTCCCTGTGCCTGCCACTCAGGCAGCCCACGGATGAATTTAGAGATACCAGGCTCCACAACAGGCTTAACTGACAGGCAAGTGTGGGTTGGATCTTCTGGAAGCTATAAATAGAAGTACCTGCTTTCGAAGGCACAAGGTACCCTCACCCTTAGCGCCTGGGCAAAGAGAGGAGAAGAAGCAGAAAGGGGAGAAAAGGAAACAACATTCCAGAAAGCTGAGGTGTGCTGGGACGGGGCTTGAGAATGAACCGGGAAACCACGAGCTGCACTGGGCACAATGCAAATGCCCGGGAGCAAGTCCAACCCACGTTCGTGTTCTTGTCCCAGAGACAGTCCTGCCCCTCCCCCCCTCTTCTCACCCTGTTCCCCAGAACCAGGCCACAATCAAGGCCAGAGTCAGCTCTTCCTAGCTAAAGCACAGGTGACTGCCAGGGGTGTGGTCCTTTCATATTTGGAAAAGCAGCCCAGGTGGAAGCAAAGGGGTGAGAAAAGAGGAAGGTGAGAGAAAATGTAGCTACTTGAAAGGGAAGGATAGAAGGAAGAAAAATAAATAGCAGTAAAACCATGCACACCTACGCATATACACATGTCACACACATATCACACACACTCACATGTGCGGATACAGCCTTTGCTTAATGATAAAGAGTTTGGGCTCTGGGGGCGCCTGGGTGGCTCAGTGGTTAAGTGTCTGCCTTCGGCTCAGGTCACGATCCCAGGGTCCTGGGATCGAGCCTCGCATGGGGCTCCCTGCTCGGCGGGAAGCCTGCTTCTCCCTCTCACACTCCCCCTGCTTGTGGTCCCTCTCTCGCTGTGTCTCTCTGTGTCAAATAAATAAAAAAGATCTCAAAAAAAAAAAAAAAGAGTTTGGGCTCTGGAGTCAGATGTGAGTTCAAATCACTTTATAGCTGCATGACCTCTGACATCTCGGTATCGCCCCAACCTCAGTGAACTCATCTGTAAAATGGGGATAATAAAAGTACCCACCTATGGCGAGGCTTGCATGGGATGATGCTTGGGCGATTATGGCCACATATCGGCCTGCCGTAGATGTCAAAGGCAAAATGAATTATTCAAACGAGTCAAGAAACAGAGGATCAGCTGAAAGGAAAGAGTGATAGTTGCAAAGTTGGGGTGGAAGAAGAGCTGTGGCCCATACTGCCCCCTCCCACCACTGGCGTATCCACGTGCAACTCTGTGGCGCTTGGACTCCCAGCCTTGGTCTTGGTGACCCTCCCTGAGTCACCCCGAGCGAGGAGGGAGGCCTGAGCCTGAGCGACCTGGCACCCTTGGCCTCTTGGCTGCCAGGGCCCTCTGCCCGCCTCAACCCTCACATGGGTCTCCTCAGTGGGTGCTTCCTATCTCTCCTACCCCGCCTCATACAGTTCTCTCCACCCCCACCCCTTCCTCTTTTCACGCCTGCTGGCTGAGGGCCCCCCTCCTCGGCTCCATCTGCTGCGAATCTGTCCTGCCCGGCGTTTGCAGCATTCCCACTGCCTCTGCCACCTGTCAGGTGCCGTCTGTTCTGCAGACCCCTCCGAGGAGAGCCAAGAGCCCCCCAAGGGGGGATACCCCATCCCACCCTTGGTCCTGCCCCTCCATCTTCCCATCTGATTTGATGAGGCAGGTGCGATCAGTGGATTCCCAAGGTTCCAATTTGCAAGGGATGTTGGGAGCAAGACATTCCAGAAAACTCTGGTGGGGAGGAAGGGGCTACTGCTTCCTCTCCCCTCAGTCCCCACAGGAGCCAAGCCAGAGGGGAGCATGGAGCTGCTGTCCACGCCCCACAGCATCGAGGTCAACAACATCACCTGTGACTCCTTCCGCATCTCCTGGGCCATGGAGAACAGTGACCTGGAGAGGGTCACCCATTACTTCATTGACCTTAACAAGAAGGAGAACAAGAACTCCAACAAGTTCAAGCACCGGGTGAGTGGAGGGTGTGCAGAGGGCCTCTGGCTCCTACTCCTCCTTGAAGGAGGCAGGGAAACGGAGCGCTTGCTGGTGGGTGATGGTTGGGAGTCTGACAGGCCTGGTTCAAACCCAGGCTCTTCTCCCAGTGTAATCTTAGGAAAGTTATTCAGCCTCACTGAGCCCAAGTTAGGTAAAAAGGGTATAATAATGCCAGCCCCCGCAGGCTTGTGAGAGGCTTCAGTGAGGTAATGTTTGCATGGTGTCTGGCTTGGGGCCCAGCCCCCGTGAACGCCATTATTGGCATCATGACTGGGGCTTCAGACGGGGAGGGAAAACCTGAGGGGGGCCACAGACATCACACCGGGGGCTGGCGTCTCAGGGTATGACAAAGCCCCTGACTCAGGAAGCAGCTTTGTTGTTGACTGTGTGGGCAACGTGGGCCATGGGAGGGCTGGGGCCCTTTGCTTGGTCCTCATTGACCCCTCTTGGGCCGCCGTGATCCTCTCTGCCCCTGGCTCTCTGGTCTACAGGTGGCTGGGTTTAGGAAAGCAGCATGGGAGAGTCCTCTGCTGGCTGGGGTGTCCTTTCCCTGGGTTAAAGCCGGGGAGGGGGTGGGTGGGAAGAAGGCTCCCATCTCCTCAAGCTGGCAGAGAGGAAGGGGGAAGAGTGAGGTGGGAAGGAGCTGGTTCCCACGACGACTGCATCATGTGGGTTGCTCACCCTCTCTCTCTTTGGAACTGGTTCTCCAGATCTGGGTGTCTTTTGGCAGGCCAGTTGCCACGGTGACGTGAATGTTCAACACCACCCCCTTAACCCTCCCCCCCCAAAGAATAAGGCATATTTTCCCTTCCTCCCTGGCTCTCGGCATTTGCCGTTGCCGTGGAGACGGCACTGCAGTGTGCAGAGCTCTCGAAGTCTCCCTCAAAAACGGAGGTCTCGCCGCCCTCAACTTTTCGGCCTCCACCCCCGTGGCCTTTCTCCTTAATTCCCAAGAGAACGGGCATCAGGGGGCGTTACGGAGGGGTGGAGGCTGGAGGGTATCTGTACGGCCTTTCCAACAGCCACTGCTTCCTTCTGCAGGAAAATGGTGGCCAGGGCGCCGAGCCATTGAATCTCTGAGATTTTGGCCCTCCTCGGGCAGCCTACGGGCCGTCTGGGGAGCGTGAGGTCTGGCGGAATGCCAAGATTGGGCGCGACCCCCAGTTTTACTCTTGGCTCTCTGCATCCCATTTCTCAGGATGTCCCCACCAAGCTTGTGGCCAAGGCCGTGCCACTGCCCATGACAGTAAGAGGCCACTGGTTCCTGAGCCCCCGCACGGAGTACAGCGTGGCCGTGCAGACGGCCGTGAAGCAGAGTGACGGGGAGTACCTGGTGTCCGGCTGGAGCGAGACGGTTGAGTTCTGCACTGGGGGTGAGGCCATGCTGTCTTGCTGCTTTGACACATCGGTCTTAGTTAGGGTCGGGAGGGGGATGCGTCTTAATCCAGCAGACGCTTATGAGCACCTGCTGAACGCGGGCACCATGCTTCAGCCATCAGGGAGGCACCCCAACAAGACCTGCCCCCACCCCCGCCAAGCCCACAGTCTGACACGGCGGGGGGCGGGGGGGGGCAGACGTCATCACTGCTAGTTGGGCTGCCAATACCGCTTCCAAACAGGGATGCACTTCCTTTTTGGGCTCGGGGCAAGCGTGCTGTTTTGAATCGTGGTGAAATACCCATAACACAGTTTCCCATTTTAACCAGTTAAGCGTATGGGTCAGTAGTATTAAGTACGTTCACAGTGGTTGTGCAACCAATCTCCAGAACTTTGTCATCTTCCCAAACTGAAACTCTACACTCACTACACAACAGCTCTCCTCCTCACTTCAGCCCCTGGCAACCACCATTTCACTTTGTGTCTCTGTAACTTTGATACCTCTCGGTAGCTCCTGCGAGGGGAATCACGCAGCATTTGTCCTTCTGTGACTGGAACATTAGTTCCATTATTTCACTCGGCATCATGTCCTCAAGGTTCATCCATGCTGAGCATGTGTCAGAATGTCCTTCCTTTTTAAGGCTCAATAATATCCCGTTGTATGTATAGACCACACTTTGTTTATCCATCATAGGTCAAAGGACAGTCAGTAAGTAATATTAATAATAATCCCATTTGCTCATCTTGAGCCTCCACTTAGCCTGGGAACCTGACCCCTACTTAGGGGTCCTGCAAACCCTCTTAGCAGAATTAAGTTGGCAAATTCCAGTATGAACAAGCACCAGGCTTACATGTACCTGGTAATGGATGACCCAGGATCTGCCCCACAAATAGTCCATTCTTTAGGTGTCCACAGGGGGAACTGCTCCAGATCTCTCTCTGTCACAAGGAAGGGGCAGGGAACATTCCTAGCCCCGGGCTTCTGAGGCTGCTGGCTCCATCCTCTGCCAAGGCCCATGCCCTAAGTCTCCTTGAGTTGCCATTCTTTCCCGAGCAGTGTTTTTTCTTAGCTCGGCTGCAAAACCCCACTCTGGAGGTGCTCCCACTCCTTGCGGGGAAAGCCTCTTGGTTTACCCCAGAACTCCACACCTAGTGGGAGTTTAATTCAAACTGGGGAGCTGCGGATGGCTGCAGTCCAGTCCCCACTACTCTTGCCAAACCCAGCACCCTGGCCAGGGCTGCATCAGCAAGGAGGAAAGGGCACCTTTTTCTAATTTGTACAAAGGCCCTGTCTTGGCTGGCAGCAGCCCTTGCCTGATCCTCAGGGCCCCAGAGGCTGGTCCTGGCCCCGGGAGGTGTCCGGTCTACATCCTGTCTCCAGCCTTCCCTGCTTCTCCCAGGCTGCCGAAGCAGTCACTGCCTCTGACCCTGCTCCGGCTACCCACTCACATCAGTGATCAGCAGGCTCCTTGTGAGCCCCTACCTATAATGACAACTGGCTTCCGTGTGGGTGGTATGGACGGCCTCCTACCTGCTGGATTTGGGGGGCTCCCCCTAGGGGACCTCAAATTCTCCCCTCTCAATCCTTCTTTTGCTTGCTGGTCTTCTTCACATGAGGATAGCCAGGGATCACAGCTCCTGGGGCCCCCGGCATGACTGTCTAACTGGGCAGCCCCTACCCCTTTCTGACTCAGAGAGCTGAGCCTCTGGCAATGAGAGTGCAGGGGTGATGAAGACAAACAGCATCCAGCTGTCCATGCTCCCAGCTGGGCCACCTGGCTTGCTCCTATGTGGTCCAAGGTGCTGTGACTGTTTGGTGTCCCCTGTTGCTCTGAGGACGGAGGTGGGCTGACATACTCCGTGTGCAGTGGGTGAGTGTGGGGGCATGAGGCTGTGACACCCAGCCTGGCCCTGGGCTTACCAGCCGGGACTCTTGCAGATTATGCCAAGGAGCACCTGGCCCAGCTGCAGGAGAAGGCCGAGCAGATCGCAGGCCGTATGCTCCGCTTCTCCGTCTTCTACCGCAACCACCACAAGGAGTACTTCCAGCACGCCAGGTATGGCGTGGCCCCTGACAGGGGCCTGGGTCTCGCCTTCCGCCCCTGGCTCTGCTTTGCCCGGACAGCCCTGGCTGTCTGACATCACGTCCACCTTGTCTTTGCCAGACCCTCCTACGGAGTATCACAGGCTGGCTCTGGGGGGGTGGCTCACTGCTGGGGATTGGGCTCCAGGGAAGGAGAGGGCTCTCGGGACGGGGATGCTTGGGGGAACCATGTGAACTGGCCTGGGTGAACAAGATCTTGGGTTTGCTCCTCCTTTGGGACAGTTCCTTTCACTGGCTTCTAATGCCAAGGGTCAGCTGTCTCTCCAGTTCAGGCCCTGGGTCCCAGAGGGAGATGGTGAGGGGAGCACAGGGTGAGAGGATTCTGTGTCTGAAGGGTCCTAGTTTTCAAACTGTGTGCTGTGGAGGCTGGAGGCTCCAGGGAGGTGTCACAGGGCATTTTAGGGGGGGTATTGAGGGGTTGTTGAGGAAATTAGGGTGAGGCTCGGTGGGTCCCACATCTGTCGATCAACTGGAGCAGCTTCAATTGCACTGCTTATCAACTGCCTATGTATAATATCTTTTGGGGAAGAAAGAGAGGGGCTCTGTAGTCCAAAAATATTTGATCCAATTGATGATCTGTTCTAACCCTCTCAGCCTAGAGATGGGGAGCCTGAGGCGCAGAGAGCCAGTAGGTCACTAGTCACCTGGGACATCCAGGACCTGGCAAGGGTGAAGCCGGGTCTGGGGCTGCCCACCCTCCCCAGGCCTGCTGACACCGCCCCAAGTCCATGTCCTTCTAAGGCTGGGCTAGGGCAACCTGCTAGTCTTACTGTCTTTGTCATTGCATTCAACTGGGGGTGGGGTGCTCCCACCTTACCCCAGCATGGCAGGGAGCTAGTGGGCTCTTTGGTTTTTGTACTAAAGAAGAGAGGCAGCCAGGTGAGTGGTGAGCACACTGGCCCAGTTCCTGCTCCTCTCTCAGCAAGCACGCAAGAGAGAGAAAGCACCCACATGTGCCAGGATGTAAAGATGAATAAAGGGTAGAGTCCCCCCTCTTGAAAACCTCAGAGTCTATCAGCGGGACAGTTCAGACAGATGGAATGTAAGAAGTACGTGTGATTGTTGAGTAAAATTCAGTACCTGCACGTAGTAGGCAAAGTTTTGCTGAATACAAGTGCCTGATGTTCCCGGAAGATTTTGGAGAGGAGGGGACACCTGTGCTGGGCCTGGAAGGATGATTAGGAGTTTGGTGGGCCAGGTGAAGAGAGGTCCAGGGAAAGGCAGTCCAGGCAGAGGGACGAGCACTGCAAAGGCACAGAGGCAGGAAAGTTGGGGGTTCATGTGTGGCTGGAGAATGTTACTTGTGGGTGTGGGGGTGGTGGGAGGTGGGGTCAGAAAGACCAGACCTTGATGGCCTTGCTTTTCATGAAAGCTCCATCAGAGGGTTTTAAGATGGGGAGTGGAAGGTTCAGACCTCTCCTCTGTGAAGGAGTGGCTTGCATCAGCCCATCTCCAGGGCTCTCCCTGCTCTCACATTCTGGAATGTTCTATTTGCGACCGATGGAGGCAGCAGCTGGTGGGAGAGCTGGGAGCTCGGCTGGCTTCCTTCTCAACCCCACACAGCAGCCAAGCCTCAGCCCAGCTAACCAGCGGCATTTTCTCTTCCCTTTGGCATTTTTCCCCGGGGTGGGTAGGACCCACTGCGGGAACATGCTGCAGCCCTACCTGAAGGACAACAGCGGCAGCCATGGCTCCCCAACCAGCGGCATGCTCCACGGGGTCTTCTTCAGCTGCAACACAGAGTTCAACACAGGCCAGCCTCCTCAGGACTCCCCCTACGGCCGCTGGCGCTTCCAGATCCCTGCCCAGCGCCTTTTCAACCCCAGCACCAACCTCTACTTTGCGGACTTCTACTGTATGTACACAGCTTACCACTATGCCATCCTGGTGCTGGCCCCCAAGGGCTCCCTGGGGGACCGCTTCTGCCGTGACCGCCTGCCCCTCCTGGACATTGCCTGCAACAAGTTCCTGACCTGCAGCGTGGAGGATGGGGAGCTGATCTTCCGCCATGCCCAGGACCTCATCCTGGAGATCATCTATACCGAGCCCGTTGACCTGTCCCTGGGCACCCTGGGGGAGATCAGCGGGCACCAGCTCATGAGCCTATCCACTGCTGACGCCAAGAAAGACCCCAGCTGCAAGACCTGCAACATCAGTGTGGGCCGCTAGGGACTCCTGGGGAACTGGGGGGCTAGGGAGAGATGACAGGCAGGGTGGCAATGGGTGGCATAGGTTCAGGGAGCTGGCTTTCTCTCCCCTGCCCCCCCCAGCTCCCTCCACGCCACAGCCTCCCCCTTTCCCACCCAGTGGCATTAGAGGCAACAGAGGGTGTCCCCTTGGTAGGCGTGGCCTATTCACCCCTGGTGGACTTGGTAACGCTTCTTAGCCTCCGTAGGTTGGTGGAAGGAGGGTAGATTTCTGGAGATTTCCCCATTCCTGGTTTCCCTGTCCTGCTGTTTCTTGCTTCATCCCGGCCTCCACCTCATGGAAACTTACAGCCTGGGGGCTGTCGCTGAGCAGCCTCCCCGGGCGAGAGCCCACGTGTTGCTTGCCCGCCCCCAGAGGCGCTGCAGAGAGCCGCGGGTGCTCCTCTCCAGCCCCGCCCACCCCACTCAGGGCCAACCACAGAATACCCCTCCCCTCTGTGCCGGCCCGGGGGGCTTCCGACTCCAGGCCTGGCCCTTTCCCTTTATACATAGTCTCCTGCACCGCTCTGACCCCCCAGCACCCTCTTCCTGCATGGGGAGAGCTGTCCCTCCCCTTCTCCACCTGCCCTCTAGAAAGGGGCCCTCTTTTTCCTCCTGGCTTTGGGGGCTCCGGGCTGTTGGGACTTTTCCTTTCTCCTCTGGAGATGATGTGTACCCCAGCGTACCTTCTCCGTTGCTCAGAGCACCGAGGTCTGCAGTGGCAGCCACTGGGGTCGAGGAGGGGGACAGAGACCCCTGAGACCCAGAGGTAACCCTTCTCAGCCGGAAGGGGGCCGCCTCCTGCCCCGAGGGGACCCAGTGTGGAACTAGAATCGAGGGCTTTCCGAAGAGCCCCAGCACCCTGCCTGACTGTGCGCTTTGCTCGCTCTCTCTGCCACGGGGCCGTGACTGCACCGTGCCTGCGTGTGATCTGGACTGTGGCTTCCCTGCCACCGCACCTCACGCTCCGCCCACCGGCACCGTCTGCTCCCCACCGCCAGCCGGTTGGCGGAGAACCCCTTCCCTGGGGAGTTCTTGGAGACGGCTTCCTGGGCCTCCCAGCGTTTTCGCCTATTTCCTACTTTGGTACGGGTCATGAGGGTGGTGAGGGTGGACCCCCAGGTCGGGGGGCAAGGTGGAGGTGTGGATGGAGGCAGCTAGCTGTTCAGGGGATGGTGGAGGCGATGTCAGGCAGAGGACAGCAGCCCCCACAGTGACAGCCAGATCCCCGTGATGAAGTACAGAAGGGGCCAGAAGGCCAACAAGGCCATATCTCAGTAAGGGCGCAGGTGGGACAGCTGGTCGCCTCTTGTGTAGCCACAGGGATTGGTGTGGTCAGCTGTCTCTGTGGCACGGAGCAGGTCTGGGGGCCCTGGGAGAAGCATGGAGGAGAGGACATGGGCCCCCAGGCCTCTTCCCCCTCTGCTGACTGCGTTGCTCTGGGGGGTGGCCCACTGCTCTCCCCCGGCCCTGTGTCTGCCCTGAGCTGGGGGCACACCCGCCTGTGTTGTGCTTGCGACGTGCATCAATAAACCACCATGGCCTGAGAGCCCCGACTCTCTCTGAGCTCTGGGAGGGGTGGGGTAGGCAAGTTGTACAATCACAGAGGAACTCAACTGGGGATGTCCCCCAGGACAAGACATCTGGAACTGTCTCCAAGCGTGTTCCAAATCTTGCTGTGGGAGGCAGGGCTCAGAAAGCAGAGCCATATCTCTAGCTTAGAAGGGACTTTGGAGGTCTTTTGGTGCTACCCTGCACTTTGCAGAAGGGGAAACTGAGGCCTTATGAGAGGGGAACCTGTGGCAATCTGAAGACCTTAGCAAGGTCCCCTGTTGGGAGCCCTTCCCAATGCGGCAGCCTGCCACTGCGTCAGACCCAGATGCTGCTGAATTTCCCTCGCCCAGAGCCCAACTCTCCTCTCCCCAGCAGGGCTCCTCATTTGCAGATCTGAGTCACCTCTGCATCTATTATTATGGACTTATTAAAATGATCTGCTGGAGTAGAAAAGTTCCAGAAAAATTAGAGTCACCTCACTGACACTGCCTGGCTCAGGACCAAATGAACATGTGTCATCCAGAGGTTGGGGCACAGCCTCTCGGGCTAGGGGAAAGCTGAAGGGCAAACGACCACTTCCTGAGGGCCTACTATGGGCCAGGCATTTGGCCAGGTGCTTTCACACACATCAGCTTATGTAGTCTTCACAATGGCCCTCCGCCATAGTATTCCTATTTAACAGATGAAGAAATTGAGGCACAAAAAAGTTAAATAAAAGGCTTGCACATGTCTTACAGCTGGTAGGCAACAGTGCCTGGATTGGATTCAGAAGCTGGAATCTTCCCATTCCACTGTCCTGTCTCCCCTAGTGTCTGCCAGGAGCCGCCTGAGCGGTAAGACACGGGCAGGCTGGTCTCAGCACTTGGCCCTCTCAAGGGTCTCCCCTCTACATCTCTCCTGGCTGACCAAGGCTGCACCTTGATCCTGGATAACACCAGGGGGGGCTGTGGAGTCACAAATGCCAAGGAGCCTTCTTTTAAAGGAATAGTGTGGGCAGCACTGGGTGTCCAGAATTCCACAGACGGGGAATGACCTTCAGGGCCCATCCTTTCCTCCTTTGGTCAGGAGACCCCCCCACCCCACGCCAGAGGGGTTTTCAGAATCCTTCAGAGGTGCAGGCTTCAGTCTTCCTTTTGTGAACCTTCTGAGTTTCCTAGGGAAAGATTGGCTCCCAGTGTCCTCTTTAGTGGGGGATGAAGGCAGCGTACTGAGCGGGGGGTGGGGGGGGCCACACGCAGTTTTCCCCAGAGAGCTTGCTTCTCGTTGCTCTCTCCAGATGGCCGCTCTGCTCTGCTCTCCGGTTGCTGGAGGCGCTTGTCAGAGCTGGGTCAGGGCACTGGCTGGAATCTGCCCTGAGGTCCCTTCTGGCCCCTGTCCCTCTAATCTGACCTGGTGGAGGGAGAGAGGTCTACGTGCGAGTGCGCGTGCATGGGCGCGCGCGCACACACACACACACACACACACACCACCTCCCTAGACTGGATTTAGAAGACACACATGGCTGCCACAGAGAGCCACAAAGTGAGGGACAACCCTGGACTGTAGCTGCCACCATCCAGCCGAGGGACCCCGACTTAGCCCTGCTCCAATGCAGGCAGGGAGGGAAAATGAGGCAGTGGCCACCAAGGGGTGCCTCCAGGTTACAAGCGGGGTGTTCTGCCGTGCGGGCACAAATACACGGACACACCCAACACATACACGTGGCTACGTGCCCTCAAGCCCCCAACTGTCTGTCTCTGTCTCTCTGCTCTGCCCATTCCTTCCCTACTGGGCCAGCATCTTTCTTTTCATCTTGGATGGATGACAGTCTCCCCAAAGTAGTGGGTGGGGAGGAGCCAGCTCTGAGGACCCTCACAGTTTTGTATGGTTTTGGTTTGTGTCTCTTCTCCATGTTAGGAAAAAAGGTGGCTGGGGTCCCAAGGAAAGGGATGAGGAGGGACCATTCCCCCAGATGGAGGGAGGCCTTCAGGAAGCTGAGCTGAGGTGATTGGCCATAAAACAGCTTGGCCACAGCATCTGGAGGAGATTGGAACCAGATGTTCCTGAGATGGGGGAGGGGAGGGTGTGGGACTGGGAGGAGGCTGGAGCAGGAGAAGCAGGCTGGTCAGTAGGAGGCTGAGTTGGGGGGCCTCGTGGCTCTCTGGAGAAAACATCTGGCTGCCCTCTCCCCACTCCCCAAGTCAGACACTACTATTTTTGCAAACTGGAGCAGCAAATCTTTTCACGGATTCTAGAATCAGCCCTGTGTGTAGGGACAGTCAAGCACAGGGTGTGACTTGGGAGGTGCCCAGAAAGGCTACCAGCTAGCCAGAAATGTCTCCTGCTGCCCCACAAGCCCCGCCTTGCTGTGGGCTAAGCATGGCCTTCTCTGGCAGGAATCCTTCTGCCCTCAGCAAATAATGCTCAACTGGAAACTAGTGTACCCAGAAGTTTCCTTTTTGCATAGAAAGAGAGTAGTCCAGGAACTGGAAAACTGTCTGGCAAAGGAAAGGAAAAGAAGGCCCATTTATGGAGAGCCTCCTATTTGCAGGCACTGTATCAGGATCTCCTCAAAGGGTATCTCATTGCTTCCTTGCAACCCTGAATGTGTTGTCATTCCCCCGTCTAGATGAAGAAACTGAGGCTCAGAGATGTTAAATGACTCACCCAGGGGCGCAGAGCCACCAGATGGTAGAGCTTGTGTTTGAAACCGGCTATGTTTGCATGCAAGCTTTTGAACTTTTCATGACACAGAAGCAGATGGGGGAGGGGGAGGGGAAGGGGAAAGGAAAAGGGGGAAAGAGAAGGAGGAAAGTGGTGGTGCAGGGCATGTGACTTTCCTCCTACTATAGTGGAACCACACTTGGCCCTAGAAGATCCCCCACCCCCCTGCTGGTGAGGAACCCCGCCTCTGGCTGCTTGGGGACTAGACGCTGGGTTTTCTTGTCCACCTCAGCTGTGGCAGGAAGGGTTGCCGAGGACAGGGGAGAGGCTTGGGGAGCAGAGGCCCAGGGAGGAGGCAGCTGGCCAGCACCACTGGACAAAGGATGGCAGAGCCACGTCTCCTGACTGCCAGGCTGATGCTGTTGTCCCCGCCTCTGCGGGCTACAAAGGTGCTCCCAGAGGCAGGAATCTGAAGCTCCAGGGTGTGCGCTAATCTCGCTCGAGCTGGGAGCACAGTCAGGGGCAGGTCCATCCTGGCTTTTCTATTCCTGGCCATGCCCTCAGGACCAAGAGGGCCCTCAGGGACTTGCAGACAGTTGTAGGAGCAAGGGTACCTTCCTCTGACATGGAGTCAGCTGAGCTGCTGGGCAGCGCTGCCCTGGAGCTTGTCTAATTTAGAACCCTGAAGCAGCCAGAAGGTGAGGGTGGGTGGGGTTCTGAGAGCACATGCATTGATTAAGTTCTGGAATATGTATGTATCAGTGGCCTGCACCCAGCTCCTGAGCA